TACAAGTGATAATCATATACTAATTTTGATGTTGATTTTCTCAAAATCACATGATTGTCCCGAAGCCTGGTTTTGCTATAAATACCCCATATGATGTGTTAGCCAGTATTGATGTGTTTGTGTTGGCTGTATTTTGTAGTTGTTGTATGCGTATGTATAGTGATGAATTACATAGATCTGGGTTATTGATTTGTTATGTTATCTTGCTTATATAGTGTTGGCATTGTATGTTTTATAGTGTCCAGAGTGCGTATATTCTGTAGTTGTAGAAGGTTGAATTGGGTATAGCTTTAGACATATTAGCTTTGTATTTGGCGATCAAAGTATATATTGCTTGTTTTTCTGTGATTGTTGATTTTTGAAGTAACTTTAAAGCGTTATTTATTTCTTTTACTATATTTTGCTGTATTAGTATTTTACTAGTATTGGATATTGTAGTAGTATCCAAGGAATCGGAAGCAATATTTAGGTGATATTGGGTGTATATTAGTGCTGTTAAACGTTATATATACTGATTCATCTTTTTTCTTCAGTTTGTATTTGGTAGCTAGCATTAACTTGTATGGGTTGACTGTGATTCCTGTTATTTTGTAGAAGGAGTTGGCTATATCTATTAGTGTCTGTAAGTTTGGTTTGTTTTCTGCTATTCATAATATGTCATCCATGTATGCCAATATATTTTGCTATTTACTGAGGCATTTGTGTTGTATATGTGTTGGCTGTGGTGTTGTTGTTCTCATTATGTATATAGGGTAATTTTTGTTGATTCGGGTTAGCAAGGGGTCATAGTATATCCTCCATAATAGTAGGATTATAGTTTTTTCTTGGTCTATACCAATATTGTTGTGTCTGTGAGATAATATGTTATTTATGATATTTGTTATAGATTTGGGTATCTTGATACGGTGTAGTATTTTGATTAAGAGTAGTATATGCACTGAGTCGTAGGCCTTACTCATGTCTTGTGATAATAACCATAGTTCTTTTTTGTTTGTCTGGTCATCTTCTATTATATGTTGAAGAGTATGTATTGGTATTGCTGTAGAGGTATTGGCTAGGGCTACATAATTGTTTGGGTTTAGTATGTTGTATTTGGATAGTATGAGGTCAAGTCTCTGTACTATAATTTTTGTGAGGATCTTTCTAATATATTCTATTAGAGTAATAGGGCGTGTTTGGTTTAGATCACCTGTGAATATTGCTTTTTTTGATATAGGGTATATTGTACTATGTTTCCATGCAGTAAGTATATTGTGTAGTGACAAACAGTTGTTGAGTATATCTAGAATTGTAGTTTTTGCTTGAGGGCCTAGGTGTTTTAACATTTTGTTTGATATTCTTGAGGGTCTGGTGGCTTTTATATTGGGTGCTTCTTTGATTGTGGTCTCTAGTTCAAGAGGTGTAATCTTTGTTGTAATTGTGTTATACCATGTTGGATCAATCAGTTGGATGGGTTCGTATTATATTCTTCTGCCCATTCTTGCCATAGTTCTGTTTGGGTAGAATTTAGCTTTGTCCAGTTTTTGAAATATTTTTGTATTGCTGTTTTGATCTTCTGAGGTTCTGTAATTATGTTGTCTGATGTGGGATATTATGTAATATGACAGGGTCTGTGTGTTTTTGAGTATACTTTTTATCATTTTGGATATATTGTTTTGAAAGTTTTGGTATCTTTATTCGATGTAGTTCTTTATATGTTGGTTTTTTGCTGTTTGTTTCTTGCTGTTTTGATCTGTTGTTGGGTTGTCTTGAGTATTTTATCTATTTCTTCGACCGTTGTGTTAGGTTGTATTTGTATTTGTATATCTGTTAGATTATTGATTTGTTGTATAAGATTGTGTATTAAGTCAGTATTTGATGCTTGTTTATGTATACTTATATGTCTTTGTACTTTGTTTGTATGTATTAATGCCTTGTGTAGTTTGGTAGCAGTAGGAGAGAATAGATGATTATTGTTTTGTATTACTTTGCATGTGTGTGGAATATGTTTGTTTGCGCTTTTTTTAATGCAGTTTGCTAGTATGTGCCATGTTTTGTTAAGGTTTTTTATACTTGAATTCAGTGAGTCTATTTTGGTTTGTGTGAGTTCTGTTTCGATTGAGTTTGCAAATTGTTTCTATGTTTCTGTATCCATCATATTGTAGTTGTAGATTGCTCTCTTTGTTCTGTTTTTATTTCTTTTGTGTGTATATGATATGGTATGAAAATTATTTTATAATCACTGTCTGTAATTTGTATAGAGTCTTTAAGTATAGGGTTGTAGAAGTTTTCTATTGAGTTTTCTGGAATCTATATCTCGTCTATTTGGCTGTTGGTTCGTTAGAAAGTTCAAGTAGGTTGATTTGGTAGTAGTGTATTGATTAGTGGTAGCATGTTTGTATCCTTTAGGTGTTGTATCAGGGTGCTATATGTGTGTTTTTTATTGAGATCAAGGTTAAAATCTCTAAGAACGATTGGTTTGATCTTTTGTTTGTTTGCTTGTTCTATCTATTCTATTATTTTGGATTGGGTTATGTTATTGAGTTGTTTGTTGTTGCTTGGTAGATATGTTGTTATAATTCGAAATTAGTTTTTGTGTGGTAAGAATATATCGATACAGAGTGCTATTCCTGGGTAGGTTTGTATGTTATATATATATGGTTGTAGTTTTTTGTATATTGCTATTGCAGCTTCTATACTTGATTCTTGT